TCTTAAAGACAGAAACGTATCGATGGGCCCGCAACAGTAGGAGGGCCCAGACTTATTAGGGGCCTAGGCCAAATTTTTCAAATACATTTAATAACATTTTTACTTTTATTGTATATCTAAGAATTACAAATTCTTAGCTATACAATATGTAACATACTTGTTTCAATTAACTTAAATCAAAATTGTATTTAAAAATAACGCCTTTTGTCTTCATGTATAATTTCTTTTTGTTCTGAGGGGGAGGAGAGAGAGAGAAATAATTTAGGATTAAAATTTTAAGGGAAGGCCTATTTTTTGTCGCCAAGCCACTGCTTAAAGGCCAAACGAAGATGTACATTGCCGTTCATAATTTTAGGAAGATCTTGATTGTTGTGATAACTGTTAGTTTTATTTGAGTTAAAAATTATCAGCCATGGAGAGGCAGATGGAACTTCTTTATAAAATTAATTATTATAGATTGGTGCAGGTTAAACATTGTTTATAAAACGCACTAGAAGAAATAGGACGTGACTATTTCTACAAATAAAGAATTTTAAAAGCTTATGTCTTATTTAAGTAATGAAAAATGACAGTACCCCTGCAGTAAAATTGAGGCGGTTTTGCTCTTTTCTTATACTGCCGAAATTGCTGGCATTAATATTTGAATTAGTTTTAGCAATATAAGTAATTCTAAAACCAGCGGAACTATCAGTAAAAAAAGTTTGAATATTCGCATCAATTTTAGTGCAAAAGTACCGACATTTTTATATACTTAAATTATTACTTAAAGTTATTATCAAATATATCAATTTTAAAATTATTATTATGTTTATTATCTTTGGACGAAATTGTCAACTATCCTAAACTTATTTAATGCTCTGGCATTTTAACATTTGCAAAAAACCGATGTGTTCTGCCAACATGACTTTTAACATTTTAATATATATAAATAAATATAAGAAACTTTTAGAAATAAATATAAGAAATTTTTATTTTTTAAGTAAAATTTTTTTTTTTTTTAAATAATCAATATATAAAAAAGTTTAATCGAAATAAAACTTAATGTCTGATTTACTATTAAGCAAAAGTTATATGAATTTAACTTTCGAACAAAAAAACTCCAAAAAAAATTCTGCAAAGTTTCGAATTTTTTAGTTTCGTTGTCAACGAAAATCTTAAAAAAAATGGCGAATACTTTAAACTTCAAAAATAATTGATATTAGCATAAATGTGATTGTGTGCAGAATATAATTTTATTTTTTTAAATATAAAATTAAATATCATCAACTTTCAATAAACCTGAAAACTCATGAGTTTATCGTAACCATCATGTATAATAACGAAGGTTGAATATAATAAAGAAATATTGCAGTAAAAAAAGAAAAAATATTGTCAAAAAATATTTATTATTAATTTAATACGAAAAAAGGTAATTACCGTAAAGGTATATTTAATCTAATTTTAGTATTTTATATAATTAACACTTTTTGATATTAATTATATTTTAATATTTATAGTAACAAAAGAAAAAATATATTAATATTATAATCAAAATGATCAAAATTCATGATATAATTATGAAAATATAAAAAAAAAGTTTATAAAAAAAAATTATATATTTAAACAAAGATTAATATCAATTATTATTATTTATAGTTTAATGTTATTATTATTATTATTAAAAATGTTAAAAAAATAATAATTGAAAAACTATGTACCACAAATATAATTATTAGAGATGTGCCGGAACCAGTTTATGCCGAGTCTCCGATTCCGGGTACCCGGCTGAAAAAACTGGGTCCGAGTCCGGGTACTCGGCACCGAGTCCATTTTTTAAAAGTTGGAATAAAAATTTGTGAAATCTCTAGGGCTGAACTATTCACACAAAATACGCTTTTTACGCTAACTAACAGAAAGTTATGTGGCCGACGTACTATTTAGCAAAACCCTGCAATGCAGGGAAAGGGGCCTGAGTTGCAGGGCCTAACTATTTTAAAAAGTTGTGCAACAGTTTTTTAACAACTATATTTAGTTTAAAATTATTTTTCTTTCCTGGTGGAGCGGGCCTAAATAATATTTTGTGGGGAAAGGGGCAAAACTTGAAGTTCCGCCATTGAAAGTTATATTATGGAAAGCAAAAGATTAAGAAATATAAAGAATTGCAAAAAAAGGTAGACCTCGACTGTACAGTGAATAAAATAAAACAAATAAAAAGAACTTAAACAACACTTATTTGCTGTATCTTATTTTAATTGTTTTATTAACTTTAGATTGTAATGCACAAACATTAGGTATTCTCCGTTATCTGCTTTTAGTCTGCTCCTTGTTGCTTCGTATATGTCCCCACCAGCACTAAATAACCTTTCACTTTTTATTGATGACGGAGGTGCTGTAAGATATTTTAATGCCATCTTTTTTAGTTTTTCAAATTGCATTCCACATTTACTCCACCACAAAAACGGAGAACTTTTGTTTTCTAAAAGAGGCAGAGATAAGTAGTTGTCTATTTCTTGAGTAATTGCAGACTTTAATATTGTTTGCTTCTTAATTGTGTCAGTGGTAACAACTTCAATATCTACTAATTCTCTTTCTGCCTCGCAACGTCTTTCACTCTGCTTTCTTCCGGTTTTCATAGAAGCTACATCTTTAAAACAATCATCAATGCTAATGAATCCATTAGATGCTGGAGCTTTTACTATTGGAGCATTGTCGGAGTCAGAGTCAACAACATCTTGCGCTCCTTGCATTTCTTTCCATGCTTCTTCAACCCACTCCTTAATAACATTTTCATCTGCATGTTGATAAAGTAATTTATATCGTGGATCCAAAAATGTTGATACACATAACATTTTATTAAGCAAAAATTTATCAAGTCTTTTAGTAACAGATTTTATTAGTTCATCAATCATCGTCATAATCCCAGCGTATATATCACTTGATGAAGCTTTTTGTAATAAAACTTTTAATGCAAGAACAGATGATATAATTTGTGCGCAAGTTTCGTCCCTCCTACCACATTTTTTTGTTAAGTTTTCAAATGGAGCAAGAATGTGAACAAGTTTTTCGACTATTCCCCATTGATAATTAGTAGGAAGTTTAATTTCATCATATTCTGCTGCATAGGTGGCCAAAGGAACTTTTTGTTCAAACGTTCTTTGTAGCATTTCAAATGAACTGTTCCAGCGAGTTGGAACATCTTGTTTCATTTTGTGAGGTACAGTACTTAATGCTGCTGAATTGATTTTAATTTTGCACATGCTATTGGTAAATGATTAAAATGTGTCGTTATTCCTCTGCATAAAGTTAAAATTTCCTTGATGATTTCTTGGCTGAATATAGAGTCATGAATACATAGCTGCAAAGTATGGATAAAGCATGGAATTGATGACATTCCACTGTTTTTTACTGCAGCCTTCATATTGCTTGCATTATCGGTAACAATAAGATGAATTTTGCTTAACGGGATTTCAAAAGTTTCTAAACCTTTTTGTAAATACTCTTTTATATGAATACCTGTGTGCTTTTCCGGAAAATGAATTACTCGAAGAACAGCAGTTTCTTGGAAAAGTTTAGTTAGATCTATCCAATGTCCAGTAATGCTTAAAAATGCGATTTTTGCAGTATCCGCTGTCCAAATATCTGTCGTCAGAGACAAATAGTTTGCCGCGGAGATTTTTATTTTTATATCTTTAAAAAGCTCATCATACATGCTAGGGATTACGTTTTGGCTGAAATATGTTCTACATGGTAATTTGTAATTGGGGTAAGCATCTTTAATCAGTTCATTAAACCCCGTATCTTCAACAATAGAAAATGGCTCAATATCCAATGTGATAAGTTTTCCTATTATTTTATGGATTCGAATAGATCTGTGGTCATCAATATTCCACTGTTATTTTTTTTGTAAAGCCTGAATAATGCTACTTTGTACTGTATTGGTGGTAGAAGCAACTGAGGCTTCAGAAATAGACGGCAACGATTGAACCTTTTTTTTTTCTTCCGCAAGTTTAAACTCTTTGGAATGCTTTAAACGCAAATGTTTTACCATTGCTGTAGTTCCATAAGACTTGAAAGATTTTCCTCCTCTCGTAATTAAACTATCACATAGTTTGCACTTACTCATATGAGGAGTCGTGCTTATATCAAAGAACTTCCACGCTATACTTTTTTTTGCCATAACTTTTCTTTCAAATAAAATTTCTATAAAGATAATGAAACTAGTTTTGATATCAAAGTTTTCGTTTATTTTATATGAAACGATAATTTTTTTAATAATACGCTCGAAATTAAAATATGAAAAATGTGTATAATATTTACCTTATATCTCTACTTTTATGATTTTTGCTCGATACGAATGAAAAGTCTATCAGCGTTCGAAAGCATTATAAGCGTTTCATTCAAAACTAAATTGCTAAAAATTATCTTGTGTTCTAACAGAATAAAAAGAAGCTATTCTAAAACTTTGTTTCCCATTCTTTTTATTCGTATTCTCGAATTATTTCATTTAGCGAACAGTTTTTGTATCCGTATAAATTTTTTTGCAAAAGTGAATTAAAAAATATTTTAAGTGAGATTGTTTTAAGTTAATAGAACTTTGTGGTTATCGACTACATAACACTCATAGACTTATATCAAGAAGTTTAATGGTTAAAGTTTAACTAAAGAAAAAATCAATTTGAAGATACCCGGTGCCGGGTACTGCAACAAAATGGCCGATACCGGGTACCCGGTAAAACTGCCGAATTACCGGGTCTCCGGGTCCGAACCGGGTACCCGGCACATCACTAATAATTATATATTTAATAGTTTATGTAATTACTATTTTAATTAATATATTTTAAAAAGAAGTAATTATAAATATAAATAATACAATAATATAATATTGAACTTTTTTATTTACATCTAATATATTTAAATTATTTCGTATGTTTAAAGCAAATAAATTTATAAAAAAATAAATTAAATAATTTAATTTTTTATTTTTTTTTTACTATTTAAAAATACATTAAATATTTCATTTATTATTTTATAATTATTGTTTTTATTTTATATATTTAAAATATTAAACATTTTTCCGCGTTATAAAGTTAATTCATCGAGGTTACGAAATTATTTTCCACGGTACTTGATCTCAAACTTCTTGATGTTCAAACAACGAATCCATTCGCAAATGTCTTTAAAGAAATCAATGTCGTCGTGAAGTTGAAGATCTAATTCTTCACAAAGATTAATCCAAGGAAGAAAATTTTCTTTAAAATCATTTTTTGTTATTAAATAACGTCAGATCCATATCCACAACACTTCAATCTTATCTTTCGATTTCCATCCTTTGAAATAAATTGGATGATAAAAGATGACAACGCGAACATTAGTTGAACAACGAATTAAAAGATTTTTTTCTTCATCAATTAAAATATTTTTATTAACACGTAACCACTTTAACTTTCTTCCAGATTTTATGTAATAATTTATGAAATAATTATCGCAAGAAGTTGCGTAAGAAGTTTTTCCATCGTCAATCGAAATCTCCCAACCAAACCTTCGTTTATTTAATTCATCAACAATTGAGTTTATTTCATCAGTGAATGACGATTGACTTTCGTAAAAACATTCGTAGAAAAAATTGAAACCATCAAAACCATTAATACTTTTAGATAGACAATCTAAAGAAAAATTAAATGTGAAATATAACAATAAACAAATAAATAATAAACAAAAAATAAAATAATAATCAAAATTGTGATATTATAATATTATTATTTTTCTATATGCAAATATAATTAATACACTATAATTAAATAAAAAATTGAATACATTTATATATTATTAATAAATATATTATATTTATATTATAGTATAATAAACATATATACATTAATAATAAATGAAATTATATATAAAACTTAATAAAACTTTTAAACAAAATAACTTCTTAATAAAAATTATAAAAAATATACTAATTTTATTATTTTGAACATAATTTTTATATTAGGAAATTTTATTATAAATGTTGTGTTTATAATTTTTAATAACCAATAACATACATATATAAAATATATTTTTTACTTAAAATAACATAAAACAGATTAAAAATATGTTTAACTTAGAAAAAATGGTTTATTTATTCATATTGTCATTCGAAATAAATATCATCATTTTTTTATTTAAGAAGATAAAAAGGAAAACCTGTTTTATTTATATGCAAATTTGTAAAGAACTCAATGTATTTATAAACCGAATTTCTACAGAACTTGTTCAAATTTAAAATTTACATCGAAAATCTCCTTCGACAATCTTTTTTAAAATAAGTTAATTAAATAAATATGAAAAAACGTCAAAGAGTGAGGGTTCAAATATTTGGTGATTCGATTTCGACGTCGATTTGAAAATTTGAAGAAAATCAATAAAAACTTGCAACTTTTATACAACTTATAAATTAAATTTTGATGCAATTAGCGCTTCTTGAATAAGGCTACAAAATATATATTATTAAAACATAAAAAAAAGCAACTAACGCAGCTAAGAAGGTACCAATAATCTATTCAATCAAATTTAAATTTTTATATAAATTATATCGAATGCATGTTTTTTGGATAGACAAATAAAATTTTGTTTTAAAATTTTGTAATTCATGTAACAGTCATTTTAAAGAAAAGTTTTACTTTCACTATCATTTTATAAAATTAATATTTCTCTTTACGAGTGACCAAATGAACACAAGTTCTAATGAGAAAATTTAACTTACGGTGAGAACATAAAAAAAACAACTAATGGCAATAGTTTCACAGGAGTATTAAAACTTGGACGAACTGTCGATTTACAAATTATTGAACTATATTGTGGGAATATTTTACATGTTTATTAAATCGAATGAAACGAATAAAATTAAATTCGCTTGAAATTACAGTCTTAGAATAGAATCAGCTTATATCTTGAAATCAAATTATTATCAAAAATATTAAATTTATATATTATCTTTTCTTGCAATTTTTTTTGTTTAAAAAAATTCACTGAATATATCAACAAAATAAACAAAAATGAAAAAAAAAAAATTGTTTTCATAATTATATTCAAGAGATCATTGTCGTCGTATCGCCTTAAAACAATTCGACTTTAGTTCCAAAACATAAACTTTTTAAATGAAAAGAAATTATAATGAAAATTGATTATAAAACTGAAGTATACTTACAAAATTTAAAAAGTTTTGTTACCAGTGTGAATTTTAATAAACAATGATAACAAAATGATACCGTAAAGCATTTTAAGAAAATAAATTGAAAAATGAGTTTTAAAAATTTAAAACTCAATCATCGAACTTCAAAAAATCTTTTAATAAATTCGAAAAAAACAGTAAATATTGATAACAAACTTTTCGCTTATAATATGATTTTGTAACCATCGCAACCGATTTCCAAATGCACGATAGCGGTAGCAGGTTCTTAAAACGAAAAGATTAAAACCGAAAAAACCTTATTATAATTTCACATACAACCTACTTTTTAAAACTGTTATATAATTTTTGTTCCCTACAGCCCCGGATCATTGTAACTAAAATGGAAAACACTAAGCCATCAAAAAAAAAAAAAAAAAAAATTATATTCAACTGTATTTTTTTATCAACTGCTTTTTAAAAGATATGGTCGTTCCACTAAAAAAAAAAAAAAATTAAAAGAGCGCCGATTTAAATGTAAATGTTTTTGATAAGATTGAACTCTTAACAAAAACTTGTTAAATAATTTTATATTTGCCAATATAATTAAAAGTGTACTTTTAATTATATTGGCAAATATAAAATTATTTAACTGTTAAAAAAATTATTACACTAAATTGCTGAATAATAATTTTTATTTTATGTAATTAATTATATTTTATATATCAATTACTTTGATATATTATTCACTTTTATTGTAGAATTTTTATTTGTTGTAACAATTCTTACAATGCCTGCATTCTATTACAAAAAGATAATATATAACTGTTTTCATATGCAGTAAACAACGTTCGTCTAAAGAATTTTTTCATACTGCAATAAACGACACTTGTTAAAGTGTATGTTCTTGTAAACATGCAAACGTTTGTTAAAAAAAAAAAAAAACAGAAAGAAAAACGAACGTCACTTTTCTTTAATTTTGCTTATGCAAACGTTGGCGTTTGTTTAAAATTAATAAAAACGAACGTATTACTTTAGCGTTTTTTTTTCCAAATATATATGCGATTGATAGTTTTTTATTTAATATAAAAACACATATTTATAATAAATATAATATTTTTAAAACTACATTTTACAGTGCAGACTTCAAATTTGAATGAATTTGATGCTGTTTTGACTACTATTGAACTGTAATTTGATAAAGACAGACCTACATTTTAATTCAAATATTATACTAATTTAATTTATCCTTAACAAAGTGAAGAAAGAATATTTATGCAATTGTTTTGCAAGAAACGATGTACACCACAAGGTGACTCGTAACCTCAACGCCCAACACAAGGACATCTTGACCTTGATAAACAATTGATATAACTGATAAACAATTTAGTAAAGAATAAAAGAAATCAAAGATTATTAAAATGTAAACTGCAATATTTTTCTAAGGGAAATTTTAATTAAAAATTCATATATTTATATGCCCTATATAAAAATATAAAAAATATTAATGTTAGTCTTGCTCTAAACTAAGCAGTTTTTAGCCATTTTAAGGTCCGTTTTTTTGTTTCAAATATGTCATTTGAAGGCAAGGAATGAGTGGTTCAATGGCGTTCAAATTTTTTACGAGTTAGTTTAATCATATTTGCTTCAAATATAGATGGTTTGGTTTTCAAATACCAAAACTTTTTAATGTCTAAGAGATGGTTTTCAATAACAGTAATTATGTCAAACAAGAGTTGAGCACATAAGTCACAAAAAACAATTTTTTCAAAAAATAAAAAAACTTAGTATCAAAAAAACTTCTTATTAAAAAGATTTTTGAAAACTACTTTGAAAGTAAAAGTTACTGTTTCATAAAATTGGTAAAGTTTAATAAAGTTTATTATTTTATTTTTAAACCACTCTTTAGAAATATTTTTGAACAAAAATATTTTAAACCATTCTTTCGAGTAAACTGACATGGTTTAAAAACCGTTATAAATGAATTTAACATCAAAACTTTTTTTAAGTTTTCCATCAAATTATTATTTTTCAACCAGAAGTTTACTTGTAACTTTTTTTGAGAGTATTTTAATATTAATTTTAATGAAGCATAAAAAAAAAGTGCAAAAATATGTTGCATTCTCCCCCATACATGACAGAAACCTATTTAGGATGCAAAAAATTAAATATTATCTCCACTAACACACACTTAACATGAAACTATACTCTTACGTAACTAATACATGGGAGGGAAGGTTTTTAAAACTTTGAAAAACTGTCCCACTCACCCCCTATAAAATCTCGTACCCTACTTTTTATTAATGTTTACTTTCTTTTAGAAAAAACAACTATATCCTCACGTGAAAAAAAAAGTTTCCAAATTATTCTTTACAAATGTAATTATAGTAATTCCTAATTTGTAATAACTTTATATTCTTATAATACTTTTTTTATTTAGTACGAATGAAGAAAATTTGACTTTCTTGTTAAAGACGTTTTAAAGTAATTTCAAGCAAAGAAAGAAAATAGACTTTTTATTAAAAACCATATGAAAGTGATTTCAAGATTTTAATAAAATACTTATATGAATTATTTCAAAAAAAAAAACATTGAAAAAGACTCTGCAGTCTTTTTTATAATATTTTATTTATTAAAAAAAAAAATACATCATTTAAGAAAATCTTATTTGTGTTTTACTTTATTTTTTATATATAACTTTGATTTTTTCAAATAAAAAAAAAAATTATTTCTCTTGCTACACTTAACCAAAGATTTGAGAAATTATATGTCTAGATCATGCTTGAAAACAGTCTGTTCAAAAATATCAAATAATAGCCACGAATTCGCTCTTACATAATCAACCACTAAAGGTATTTCCAAATTTTGAAAGCTGACGCTGCATCTAATTTAAACATTTTCCGATGGAAAACCTGCCAGAAAAAAGAGCTGGTCCTGTAAAGTTAATACTTCAATAATTTTTAACATTATCTTATCAAATAATAATGCTAATAATGAGTTTATTTATAACATTATGAAATCAAAGGCTAAAAAAACTATTCTTGATTGCAGCTGTATCTGAATTCCCAGCTGTGAGAAATTTAGGAGAATAGAAAATTGAAATATATGTTGCCATCTTTTCCCCATTCTTTATCTTCCTTTTGTCTCAAGTTCAGGATTTGCTTTGTCAAATTATAAGGAAGCATGACATTGCGAACTCTTCAGATCAGTAAATACTTACTGCCATAAACCGTGTATGGTTTACTGCCCCAGGCTTGTAAATGTTGAGATGCTTGAATGTTGGTTCCTAAAAAATGAGAGCTAGCTCAGCAAGTTCCTAGTAGTCTCTAGTTACTGGTAATATTGGATATTGTTTTTATTAATAAATATTTCACATTTATTACATAAACTTGAACATTTTAATGGCTAGAAAAACTAACCTAAAAATATTTGAAAACACCTTCATTAACAAGTGTTATTAAAAGATTTCTTGCCTTATCTGCTTGTTCTTTAAACTAAGAATGACAAATCTGT